CTCTTATCTCTGTAAATGTAATGGTCACATAGATCTTACTTCTTCAATAACAGCGCTTTTACGATCCACGGGGACTTGAGTGTGACCCCCACCAATAATTGGAACTTTCTTGACTTCAATTAATAAAAAAATCGTTTAGAAATAGATTTGGTCAATATTTAACATTCGTAGAAGGAACTAGTTGGCAAGAAGGGATGCTGTTTGAAATTCATTCAATCATCTCTTGCCCTTCTCTTTCTATTAACTTTCGCAGTTGAATAGTGACGATTGATCTTACTCGATTATGATGATGACTACTCTGTTTCGACTATGACCTTCACCGTCTCATTTTCAAAAAAAACGGACTTATTACAACTTATCAAAAGATATAAATCCATTAGAAGTTTTGGAGAGTACTATCTTATCAAAGATACGAAACCATCGCCAAAATCATAAGTCTGTATTGTTTCTTATAATTATTGTTGAGTATTAGAAGAGAATGAAACATTACATCCGACTATTTCTATCGGTTGGTGAAAAGGAAAAGCTGAGAGAGAGCATATTGATTTGTCTTTTAGTTAGAAAAAAGGTTGACCTGTTATCAAATTAAATTGATTTCCTTAAATTATTATTGAAGAGTTTTGAATTGAAATATAGCAGTAGATTGTTAACATGCCCAATGAGTCACTTAAGCAATGACGAAATCTGGATCTTGTCAAGCTATACTCACACCGACACGTTCAATCCAACTATTTAACTACCTAATTTTCAAAGCCTTTTTAATTCATTTGTTCAAATAGACAACCATTCGATTCTCCACCTATACATACTATCAATGATTCTACTTGAGACATTGTACCTGCTATACATTTCCTGTTCTTTCGATGTCGCATCTCGTGAAAAGTCCTTCCTCGCACTCTCTCATACAGGCCTTGATGCATTGTGTGTTTGACGTGAATAATAATATATCGCCTATGATTTTCTAAATAATTCCATCGATGGAATATACTTATGATGGTCAATGGTTTCATTTTTGTTTTTGTTAATATCAGGAAAGCAGTTACTTTGTGAATTTAACTTGTTTATGTTTCCTCTCAATTGAAAATGATAGATTTTGTTACGTGATCTAATTAGAATATACAAATATTTAATCCATTCTGAGTACGGGTACATAGGGATAGAATAAAATTTGTTTATCGCTATTCCAGTAAACATATAAAGAGTACGAAATCTAGATCATGGCAGCTCATTCAGCTCACTTCTAGTGGTTCAACTAATTTGATCAATGCTAGCAAATCATACTTCTTCGGAAAAATTCTGATAATTTCAATAATTTCAGTTATACTAAAAGCTCCATCATGAATTCTGGTAAATATTGCAAGAGTTCTAAATGAAACAATTCCTTTAATTCTGGTAATTCTATTCGTTTCAGCAGTTAGAGTAAATATAATAACTTTAATAATATCACTATTTCTAATAATTTCTGTCATTGTAATAGATACATCAACACGGGTCTGTATATACTGAAATATTATCATAATTAATAAATAGGGAGAACATAATTGAGCCCACTAGAAGAAGTAAACTCACATAAGACTTACCAAATGAGTTGATGTTCGCTGAAGCTTGTGTTAATGTCGTAAAAGTGATTTGTAGTATTTAATCTGAAGTTTCACAAAACAAAGACACATGTTTAAAATATAGTAGTAACACTATTATGGATATCCATCAGTATTTTTCATTCAATGAGGAATGATTGAAGTCAAGTTAAACTAAGCGAACATATAGTTTACTCATGTACAGCTGCTCTTATGCCGATTAGCAAGAAAAAAAATCCGAAAATGAAATAAATTACTCTTAGCGAAACCGAAACAGTGTCAATGACGATTCTAGAATATTTTTCGTACTATTATTAATGAAAATTTTCAAGGGACTGTTTTAGAGAATAGCAGTCAACAGCAAAGCACTTTATATCTTAAAATGTGATACCGTTCCTTGGACGCAAGAACTAAAACGGCTAGCCTAGAAGGAATGAAAATATGAAATTTTATTTACTAATTTTCATTTATATAATAAAGCTATAGCGATAACTATCGAAACTATTTCTGTTCCTTGTGACACCTGAAAGCTACTTGTTTGACGACAGTTTCAAGTTTTTAAACGTATGTGAATTTGCTATGTAGAGATGAAATAGAATGAATTTCGATTACATCGAAGCACTTTATTTTTATCATAGCCAAGAATAAGTCTTCATTATGCTTAATATTATGGAAAATTGCAATTAGAATCTTGTTTCAAGTTGTCTGAATGACTACGATAGAGGCTAAAGGTTATAAAGAGACAAACTATTAAGAACTTTTTTTTATCGGAACTCAACAGTTACCAAAATGTATTCCCATTGGAATCTATGAGGACTTTTCGATAAATTTCCTAGCATGTTTAGACAAACACATCCAGTTCTTTCATAAGAATTATAGAGAATAAGTTCTCAGTGAATAAATAAACCTCTCATAAGTTTTTGTAGCTCATAATCAACTCATTATCGCGGCTCCTATGTATAATCCCAAAAAGAATATCTATACCTACACAAATATCTTAAAAAAACAGGAAGAAAAACTTAAATTTCGAATTGTTCGTGTCCGTAAGACATGAAAACTACTGTTGCAATCGTCGTCTCTGGCATCAGCTACGAATACAGATGAATATATACGTATAGATATAGAGAAAAATTCTCTTACTGGAAAAAAATTTAAAAAAGAACATCGAATTATTCATGCTTATGTTTACTTTGAAGTCATGGTATGAAGTGGCTCTCAATGCTTTTCGCTAAAAAAAAGGTAAACTGCATATGCTGGAATTCTGTCGATCTTCAATAACAAGCAGAAATGAAAAACATTAATAAAGAATTTCTGTTAATAGCGCCCAAGTAAATACATAAATCTCAGTTGATTCATGGTCGTATCTACGATTACCCTCAATACTCAATCAAAAAATTGCAAACTGTTTGTGCAATCATAACCTTCACATCTTAACAGTTGGTATGTAGAATGAATGAATAAACATTCTGGAATGCAAATAAATGAAAAAAAGAACGAATTTCAGATTTTTTTATAATCATATTCATTGCGAACTTCGAAGGAGAGAAGGGTATTTGATAAACATACATTGGGAGTAACTGACTCTGATGAAATAGGTATCCATTGTTTTATTGAAATCATTCTAAAACTGCTGCCTAACTGTCAGTTGTCCCCAGAAGGCTTTCCTATTCCAGTGTAGAATTTATGAAAACATAACACTTTCATTTTCTAAGAATTGATTTAGTAAGCAGAATGACCAGAAATAGTGTCCATATACCAGTACTGTTTGTTCTATTTGTTTTATCTGATAAGAAATTAAGAATCAAGATCTTCGCTCTATGTCGAAATAGACAGATTGCAAGAATGAAGTTCTCCATCCGAAGTCCAAACTCAATAAGAATTGTGACGTGAAATACAATGAAATTGATTGAACATTCTGTGTTAGAATAAGAAATCCTTTTTTCTGAGTATATGCATATGTCTAGGGTGTGGGTGGCCTTTTCAATTGAACACACCCACACCCGCACCCAGCTTTTAATGAAGAAAAACAATCAATTAAACTTATGCTACTTTACAATTGGTTCGTCTTCATCTGTATCTATTCTACTCTTATTTCTTTTCTTAAGTAGGTATCCACCACGATATATACATAGCCGATTTCCCAAATTCTTCGCAAGATGCATATCTATTCAAGTAATTCTACCATGGCTCAATGACAACAGCGATTTTGCTCTTATAAGATGTCTTGAATTGAACGAACGTACACTGGATGAAAATAAAATAGCTGCAGAGACAGCACAACTCGTCAGTCAAACCCAAAACCAGGAGCTGGTTATCCCATATAACATGTAATAAATTGCTGCTGAAATGAAGCGACGCAACAATCTAATTATTTATCATACGTATGAAAATCGTGTTTATACATTGAAGTGAAATACTCATCAACTATGCAACCGCATATTCAAAACATCAAACATTTCCAACACCAAACTGATTGTTGGCAATCGCAATAACAAGACCATGGCACAAGAACTGGTACGAAAGCATCAAAATTCTCACTCTTCATCGATTGGAACAGCCGAACAAAACCAACAAACTAATGCTTGACTTTTTATGCTCATTTATCGTCATACTTACAATTTTTCAGAAATAAATTATATACTCACCTTAGTGGTATTAAAAAAATAAATGCCGTTTAAGTCACTCGCACTAACCATTTCAACACATCAAAACTGTTTATGAGAGTATTCTATATTCATCTATTAATGCTTTACGTATCAAAGAGCTGTTTCTAGTCCGATTTAAAAAAATGCTTTCTATAAGCTAAAGACAGATTTTCGTTCCTATTCTTCTCTATTTCAGATAGAATCTCATAAAACCAAAGGCAAAAACTCAAAGACACTATCTATTCCATATAGCTTTTAGAACTACTTATTTTAATCCAGCTGAACAAGCTACATGCTCCTTAGGAAACAATGTACAACGCAGCTATAAATAAAAAACATTAGGACAGCAGTACAGGCTTCGTAGTCCTCCTATAATTTCCTTTTTTTAAGTCATTTTTCCTATAATCCTATATTTCTAGAAAAAATGAAGAAATTTAACCAAAAGTCCGTTTTGAAACGTTATATTGATCATTTAGAGAAGTGAAAATGCGTAAATAGGCATATACTGCCATTACTTCGAAAAAGAAAAAGAGCGGGAGCTAGTGACACTATATCCATATTTTATGTCTAACACTAGCATATGGAATTCGTCCTTTTGTTTCTGTTTGTATTGTTATTCATACATGAGTGAGGGATGAATACAGTACACTCTATGTGAAATTGTGTATAAGACGGCGGAATCGCATCTTAAATCTTGTGTGCATCTCATTTTGAAAAGTGTAAATCATTTTTTTTCTCTAGATTAATTGTTATTTTCTTTACTTTAATATATCATTTCATGCCCCAAGTTACTAAATTTAAACGAGCCTGGCTTAGTCGACGAGATGATAATGGAGATGAATTAAATTTATGGTTGAAGCAAGGCTCCAAAGAAACCACATTCCAGTGTACTTTATGCAAAACTAGCGATCTAGATTGTGCTAATCAAGGATATAGTGCTATTTATCAACATATGAATACAAAAAATCATAAGGCAAATAAAAACAGCTTAAAAGATAATTCATTGCTTGCTATTCGAACATTAAAACCTCAAACAGTATCAATTGCTAATGATAATAATTCCGGTATATTAGTAATAGACAATTCTCAAAAGTCAACATTGTTACCGTTTAATGATCAAATCACAAAAGCTGAAATTGTATGGGCTTTAACTGTAGCACGACGAGGTTTTACTTACAATTCATGCAATGGTATAGGCGAAGTTTTCAAATCTATGTTTCCGGATTCTAAGATTGCTCAACAATTTAACATGCAATCGAAAAAAATTTCTTATGTTATGTCACACGGCATCGGTCCTTATTTTCATCGTGAATTAGTCAAAAAAATTAAATCCAGGGAAAAATTTGTACTATGTATTGATGAACAAACTAATAATCAAAGTAAAAAACAATTAGATTTATTAGTAAAGTTTTGGTCGAATGATGACGGCCTGGTCGTTACTCGTTATTACAAATCTATTCTACTTGGACATGCTCAAGCCAGCGTTCTGCAGTGCTATTTGTGATGCTTTTAAAGCAGATGGTATAAATTTAAAAAGATTACTAATGCTAGGTCGTGATAACCCATCTGTTAATATAACACTCGAAAACTTAATTGATCAAGAAATGAAAAAATTGGGAAGTGGTTTATTATTTTTAGGCTCGTGTAATCTACATGTAGTTTATAATGGATTTAAAGCAGGTAACATCGTGTGCAAATATTTGATAACGGGATTAATTTGTAATTTAATATTTTTTACCTCAGGTTTATCTTCGACAAGCTGGTATGTAGAAAATGTATGTACAGATATATATTCGTGGTTTAAGCAGTCGCCTGCACGCAAGGAAGATTTAGCTGATGTTATTAATGATTTTGGTGATGTAGTTGAAAAAACATTGCTTTATTTTACAATTACACGCTGGGTACTTCTTGGTAAGGTAATTTCGCGTGTCTTGGGTAAGCTTAGTAACATCCGTTTCATAATAGTTTTGAAATTTTATACTTTATTTGGTCATTTTTAGAATTATGGGACCCTTTAAATGAATACTTTTAAAATTTTTTACCACGTATTCAAAAATCACAATTAAATAAAAACGAGAAATATGAGAAAATTAAGTCTAATCTAACATCGAATGTGGTCAAAATTCGTTTACAGTTTGTTTTATTTTTATGTGAAAATATTTTTGATCGACTTTTAACTTGGTTTCAACAAGAAGAGCCACTTATTCATCTACTTTATCGTGAGCTGTCTGAACTGTTTTATTTGGTTTTGGCACAATTCTTAAAATATGATTTTATTGTTGGAAAATCTGGTGGTGATCTATGCGATATAGATTTTAAGTTGAATGAAAAACAGTTGAATAGCAAAAATATACGAATAGGTATCTGTAAAAACATTACATACTTCTTCATATTTGTACTTGTTGAAACTCTTTTCTTCAAAGGCGAGCGAACTCGTAAACAATTAAATGCACTAACACAACAAGAACGTGAAGATTTTTTCAAAGATATAAGAAACATATATCACGAAATTTCGAAATATTTTAAATTAAATTTACCGTTGAAAAATTCTTTTATACGTGATCTACAGATTTTGCATCCTTCTATGAAAAATGCGCAAGATGTTGATCAAATTATTCGTGTTGCTCGTGGTGTTCCAGATTTATTGATAGATAATGAAATTGATTATTTACGGAACGAATGGCTGGCGTATTGTATTGAAGTAATCGATCCAAAATGGATTATAAAAAATAAACAAACCGACTCATCTGGTCATGAACACATCACTTATCATCGTATTGATTTTTATTGGAATAATATTTTCGAGATCACTACAACAAATGGTCGTCCTAAATATCCCGTATTAACCAAACTTATCAAGAATATTCTTATTATATCTCATGGTAACGCTGATGTCGAGCGTGGCTTTTCGATTAATGAAAATATTATTTCTTCCAATCGATCATTATTATCTCAATTATCAATTAATAGTTTACGTACTACATATGATACTGTGAAAAATAGTAATGGTGTTTATAGTCATAATGTATGTGCATGTTTAACGATTTGATTTTCAGAGGCTACAGTTTTTATATTTTCTAGGTACCAATTCATAAAGAGTTGATCAAGGCTGCTCAAAGTTCCTTTTCGTTTTTTAACGAAGAGTTGTCTATTATTAAAGCCGCTGAAGAACGAATTAGAAAAGAAAAAGAAGAGAAAGAAAACGCCAGCAAAATTTATCAAGAAGTGCTAGAACAAGAAGAAGAGCTTTTGATGACACAGAAGGATTTACAAAAGCAACAACAAGAAGCCAATTTAATTATTGCGGATGGTAGCGCACGTCTACAGTTGGCAATTAAGAAGAAAGACAGTCTTGATATTGAGAGAGCTACTATATTGATTGGTGGTGGTAACAATAAAAGTAAGATTATCGGTGAGCAACTATTGAAAGTTACAGAGGACTTGATTGATATTCAAAAAAAAAGAAAATCGACATTTAATAAACAAAAAGTAATGAAGAAACTAAAAACTACAGTTGATTCAAATACCAGTGTTAAGTAGAGCAATTTTGCTTATTTGTAATTTATAGTTTTGTATATATTGTTTATGTAGCATTTTTTATTTATTTAAAGATAATACTCACATAACAGGTGTATAAGTGTTGTTTATATAAAAATTTCAAATGTCTTTTTGTGTACTTTTTTCTTATGCTTCTTTTTTTATATTGTTTTCATTAAGGTAAGAGTTAGTATTTTTCGTAATAAATGAAGCACATATATAAGAATGTGATAAGTTGCTCATTTTGTTTATCAAGTTATCTTATCTTAAATTTCTTAACATAGATTAAATCTGCTGTCTAAGGTTTTTTTACAAAAAAGACTGATCCTATATATTTCCTATATATTTTTAGAAATCCTATAAAAATTTTATTGTAAAAATCCTATCCTATATATATCTTACACTCCGATTACTACGAAGCCTGCAACAGTATCATGAACTTTAAGCTTATTTAGCTATATTTCCAAACCAAACTGTTGGTATGAATGACTGTCTACTCTTGGCTAATGTACCAGGTTTGTTATTTCATGTATTATTTGTAAGGAATCTTATCATTCAATTTTAATATTCATCTTTTAGTTAGTCGTCTTACGCCTCATGAGATTGTACAACGTCAGCATGGTGTATATACATCAGATGTATTCATAAACATGAATCTCTACAATAGCATGGCAGAATTCAGCTTATTTTCATAAGATCTTCAAGAACTAACAACACGATTACTAGTAGACCAATCTATTATTCTCTTCAATGCTGATCGGTTGCATAGAATCTGTAGTATTCTTCTTTTATTCCATGAATCATTTCGACGAAATGTTCTTGAGCCGAAAGGCGTTGCTTTAAAAGAGCCTACTCTCAATTCAAAGCAAATGACTATAGCATTATAATTCTATCTACAAATATATGATTAATCTCCCAGTAAACATTCGCTTTCAAAATCTCATACATTGATATATTCTTCAGTGGATCTATTCTATATAAAAACGTGTTCGTTTTGAGGAGCTTCGCTTCGCTCCAAGATCGAAGGTCTATTCTGTGGAACTGACGAACCTCAAGCAGAATATACGATGCTTCCATGTGGTAGTCTATTTTGTACATATTGCCATCCGGTGAATAGTTACAAGAAACGTCAGCCCTGGCTTGTCATTGACTTTGCTTCAAGTTCAATGCATAGATTCATGAATGGATATACAACCTATCTTAATTGCCCAGCAGTATGTTGTTTTTGAAAATTTAATCTCCATGGGTGAACTATGATTGCGATTTAGACATGTAATACCGCGAATGTGATCTATGCTAGCTGAAACTATGACTTGTAAGTAGAAATCTTGTTTGCTTGCAGATTTGTATGTCTTAATGTATATGTTTATGATGTAGATCATCGAGAACTAGGCAATCAAATAACACATGAAAAGTTAACTGGAAGTGCTATTTTTGAAAGACCAATGTTGCAGCTCAAGAGCGTGAGACAGTAACATAAAAGACACATGATAATTCTTTTGGCAATGGTATATTTTTCTTCTTTTTCAATATTATAGGAATTTTATACTCAAACAACTGTGTCTCTATCAACATTCTGCTCGATGTCCAGTAGCACTTCACGTATTTCTCGATTGTAATCCAATCTATTGGTGTTTTATTCCCCTACCGCGATACGAAGCATTACTGCAAGATTTTGCTTGTTTGAAAGAGGTACATGTTGAAAAATTTGACTTAGCTTTCAATGTGCCGACTATGTACCACACACGAACGAAAAGTGGAAAGGCATCTAAGTCGTGTACCATTACCATCGACTGGATCTACGTTCTCCCACTCACAAATAGAAAAGCAATGTCAGTTTTTCGATCAGTTTCTCCTGTCTGGCATCGACCAGCTGCCTTACTCCCCATTGTATTTGTATAAAATAGCAATAATTGCCGTCCGCAAGTGAATGTAACTTGTTTCTAATTATAGCTTCATGCTTCTTGCGCATGATGTTAGTACCTGAAGATCGATCAATAATAATACGACATATTATCAAAACATTCTTTATTATACACGGCGAACCCAAATTAAACATGATCTGTCCACTTGGTGGAGACCCAGCACGACGCGACGGTCCAGCCTATGATTCTGTATCATGCACTGATCTGAAACGCCCAGCAAGCGGAACAACAGTATGAACCGATGATGCAGTGCAACTATACACAGACTTTAAACAGCTATCATTATTTCGTCACATCAAAACTTATGAAACAACAGACAGCAGTTATTCTGTAATGTTACTTGCCTACGTGTGCTTCTATGTATTAAATTTTCAACAGAAATAAAACGATTCAACGTCTTCAACTAGGATCAACCATCTCATCATATCTACATGCATAAAATGACGCCAATAATAGAAAAATACTGAGACTCTCACTACAGCTAGCCACTATCAATCAATAATAATCAGTTACTTTTGAATATCTCTACAATCCTTTTATTTGCTTCATAAGGATTACTCTACATTCTTCTTTTCGAGCTACATAGGTACAAGTGTAGATCCCGCCACTTATTTAAGATCTTCGGATACTTTGAAAAGTCACAAGGTATAAGCTACCTGAAGAGACCCTTAAGCAAGGTAAAAAACGGTCGTAGTTTCCTTGATTTTACACCGTCCACACCCTCTAACTTGTTTGTGATTCTACTTTGAACCGCTGAACAGTTATAAAGAAGCCATCTAAATAGTCCTTGAGCAGGGACGAAACGCGTCATGGTTGCTAGTAAAAACACACCCCACACGCTCAAGAGAGCGTGCCTTTCTAGTTATCTGAATAGAAGGTGTCAATGTGAGTCATTACGATACAATAGAATCATGGATTTGAAGTTGGTTGCATTGTTAGTCTTTTTTAAGTTAGATTACACATTTATCTTTTTCGTTGCTTAACCACTGAACTTTTCTTAGGCAAACAAAGAGGACTTTATTTCTTGTTTATAAGAAGTATCAATAATTTTTTATAACAAATGATTCACCCAAAAGCAACAACTGCTCATTCTAGTTGTTTCAGTGCATCATTTTCTTCATTTTTAAATCTATTAATAACACCTTTTCTGATAGCTTCAGAGCTTTTTGAAAAGTATTTCATACCATTTTCAGCACTTCGTTCTCTAGAATAACAGAATTTTTTTAGCTTAGACATAATTCTTGAAGACTCTGGCAATATACATACGCGTATACACGGTTAATTATTTCTTTGTCAGTCAAACTTGCTATGTCTCGACCTTCTAATGCATTGTGGATGACTTTCGCAGCTCCTGATGGTCCATGTTGTACAGATGTGCTCCATATAACATCTTTGATTACTGAAGATCGATGATCCAAATTCATATCCAGTTTATAATTTGTAGACAATTTAGATAAAGTTTTATCGTAGTGAGTTGACTTAATAAAATCATGTTGAAATGTACCGAATTCCTACAAATATATGAGACTTTGTACCTTTATGTGGGATATATGATCACTCACTTCTTTATTTGCTAAAATTTTCCATTCTTTATCAAATTCATCTGTACCAGGAGTCAACGGATTCAGTTTTTCTGCCATCTCGGTGTCTTTTTCATTCAGAAATTTCAAAAATCCTTTCATGGTACCCGCTTTAGTTGCGATCTGATATGTCCCATAACTAGCACCGCCAGGATCACCACTTGCTCCCTTTTTATAGTTATTGATAGTTCCTGAACCTCTGCCACCAGTTTCATACTTGGCACTGAGCGATCCAAGAGTAGGTGTAAATATGTCGACTAAAAATACAGGAAACTCGAATGTTGATATCGAAATTATTTGGCGACTCTTTTGGTAACGACATTTCGCTTTATTAGAATTGAACATCACTTCATAATGCACACTGAAGTCTGGTGTAGTCATGAATATCTCTGTGGAGCGATATACATTGCTATATAGAAAAAGCTAGATTTTCATCATTACTGTGCAGTTCATTCAAGTCTGATGTTAACCCCTTCACTCATACCAAAAGAGAAATTTCGATTCCCCTAAATTTAAATTTCTTCTCCAACATGCAATTCTCTTACATTTGAAAGATGCCATCTTATGATTTGAAAGAAGAAAACTATATCGGTTCCTATGAATATTGCGACTTCCTTTATCAAAAACTAATTAACGGCATCTTACATAATAATTCTAGTATCTCCTTCAACGGATTCGTTGAAACAGAGGATTAAGCAATGAAACGGGTTAACCAAGATAGAACTCGCCGACATCTACCTCATAATTTATCTACAATGGTTATTTGAAACTTTTATACTGTTCTACGTTTGAAATCCAACAAAGACGATACTACAAAAAAGAAAGCATTCTTAAATGATCAGTCATGATTTACTAAAAGTGCAGATCAAGACAATAGTATGACTATGAGTAATGCGAGGAATTTCACACAATCTGTGAACTTTCGATGGCACGTTTAGATTTCCAAAGGCCTGAATCATGTGATTATGATTTCAATAGAAGCCACTGTAAAATAGAACAAATCACGGTTAAGACTATACGGGATCTTCTTCTTGCAACATATTAGACGTTTAGCGACATAAAATCTTTAATCGGTTATTTCTAAAGAGTATTGGATAGAACTCACAAGAATCCATCTCGATTGATTGAATTTATAACCAGTTCAACTCTTTCAATGTATTTGTTCGGACAATGCTCAAATGTTTATCTAATATTTTTGACAGGATAAAACTGTCACAAGTGCAGCGTAACTGATTGAGCAATTGAGTTAATAACTCAAAGTTCTTCCTACTACACCTCTGACGGTTTCTTTTAGGTTGTCCCAAACATTACCTTTCGGAAAATTCCATGGATAGAAAGTATGTTTGAGAGTGGGATCGAATTGAAGAAGTGTTCTCAACTTGATGCCACCTCGAATTGGATAAAAGCGTCCGTCCGAACGTACATTTCGTAAAGTAGTAGTGGGAACGTAGTACCATAATGAATCATTTACAGAATTGTTACCAACTGTTATCTGTTTGCCAACGGAAACTTGTGAAAATTCTGGTAACGCATCTGTATTATTATTAACTTTGTACCCGGACTCAGACATTGCCTTATACAAACGTACCAAACCAACTGAATGTATATTGATATGGTGGGCAATACCTAAAAATCAAAACAATATTAACTCCTTATGCTACATTAGATGGTATATGAAAATGAATTTTTTCTGGTCCTATGCATAAAATATTTTATCTATCAGCGTACTAACTAATTATCCGATGATAAAAATTCAGTAAAATTTATTTCAAAATATGCTATGAAAAACTTCTTCGTTGAATTTTGCTTACATATTAAAAAAGCTACTAGCACAAATTTTAGATAGTTCGAAAACTTAAATTACGATATAAACATAAGAATAGGTGAGCCGAAAGAATGGATGTAACAAAAAATACTTGCTTTACTCCGTATTGCACTGTACGATAAACATTTTGCTGTATATCACATTAGTAGCGGGAAAATGAGAAGCAGAATTTAAGTCTCTCAAAAATCACTTCATGTAGAGTTTCGTTTCAAAATGAAAACGAATACTTACCGATAATGATTTCATTGAGAAGAGCATTCTCTGCATCTGGCCTGTTGTTGGCAAGATAGGAACTTATCGCGCCGTTGCTGATAGTATCCGAAGAAATATTAAATGCTTTGGCAATTGCTTCAGCAGCTTCTCTAGTCTTATTGTTTTGTATGCTAATTAGTAACTGACGTATTTGCATACGAGCACTAACAAGATTTGATACTCTGTATTTTTCTGAAAGTTTAAAACCTTGTTGCAACAGTAATCTGTCTAAAGTATCTTCAACGCGTTGATCAGTGACGAATGGCCATGTTCCACCAAAAACTTGATTTCTCAAGTTGTTAGCATTCAAAACTTTTGCAACTGACTAAAAGCAAGAAGAAGATCAATTGATATTTTGTTGTCCAAGACAAGAAATAAATATCTGTGACTCTTACGTCAGTTGATGGTGGTAAAACAGCCAAAGCTAATCTTTTGTAGTAATGTTGAAATACTAACGATATTGCAGCTAATTTTCCTAGTTCCCCCAGTCTCAGCAGCTCAGGGAAATAGTTTCCAAATTTATTGTAGTTCTCCGTTAAAGTAGCGGATAAATGTTCATCCTTCGGAGAACTACCACCAATATACGTGTCGATTAGACCGGTTATGTTATTTCTCACCTGTCTATATATATTAATTTCAACGAAGAATTAATTCTTCTGTAAAGTTAAAAGAAGTACCTGAGAATGCTATTGTGTTTCACTGACATATTAACTGGACCAAAAAAATACGTAACAGTGCCGTTTCCTTCTACATAGTTATATTTGATTGGACCAGACTCAATCCATCGACGAGTAGCAAGAAGGAGAGTATTTTCTTCTGTGGAATGTGTATCATATAAGCGTTCATATAAATCGTCAGGTGGAGTCGATGAACTCTTTTTAGTGACGCGGCGAGTTTTGAACGGTGACAGGGAAGAGATTTCTGCTTGCATATCCACGCCTTTTAACCAAATGTCGGCATGAAGAAGAGTTAAAAGAAAGTCTGTATCAGCCAAATCTTTATTGGGTTCCCATGTAGCTTTCTGAAATGGATGCGGAAGACTTGATCCAAATGGTGGGGTCAAGGAGAACGAGGCGCCTATATTTTCACGAAGAATACTCGTTCAAACAGAATAGAAGAATGAATACGTATCGTTACCTGTGATACCTCGTTTCATGATCAACTCCACATCGTCAGAATTAAATAGTGCATTATGAGCGTCCGCTTCCATCAAATTTAATGAATATGATCCGTTATTGTAAAAAGAAATACCACCAACGGAAGAATATACTTTTCCATTCTTTGAAAGAAGCAACATTTGTAGTATATTACAAAGTAGAACAATAGAAAATGCATACGGCAGGTAATGGAACATTTAGAGGGCGACCAGCTAACCTGAAGCCATTTTTATCACGTGGTATCCAGTTCCATTTCATAATACGCTCGACATCAGCCATTTTCCATCCAAGGGTTTTAAGCAGACGATAGCTTACATGAGTCTGTATTTGCTCAAAATTATTATCCTCACCACTCATGTAACGATCAAAAGCACGGCGATAAAAGGCTAAAATTGGAGCAGCATCTGGATGGACAAGATGTGATATATGATTGCTTGCTCCAAAAGTCAAACCATCGGTCGAGATTGAAAGTCCGCCCTGAAAAAAAAGACACGAAACTTTATTAGTTAAGACTACGAACTATGAATAAATAAAATCTCCTGTTCTTCGATATCCGTGAGAATTCCAATAAATTTACTGATTTTAACCTTTTCAACTGACAAATGTAAATCTGATTAATCACATTGTCGTCACTTATGAATTTCGCAGGGGATTCATTAGTATGGTATTCAAAATGAAGTATTGGTAAAATTGAATAATTGAGGAGAAATCTGCATCAAAGGACAGGTGTGGTTGAAAGAAAGTTTATTTATGCGGTAAATAATAAATCTAGATAACAGAAAATTGAATGTCAAATTATGCATATTCTGTTCGACATTTATTGACAGTTGTTGAGAGAGCATCATATGAGATATGAATTTTAGCCAAGATAGTCTTTTATTTGCTGCTACTTCCTCAACGTTAAACCTTATCCACTAATGCAAAGTAATATAGGGGGAAGAATGATTATCCGACGAAATGAAACGATGTGACTCTTTGAACAAATCACATGCTTATAAGTATGTGAATTATGAGATACATAAATTTATTCAGCCATTCTTAGACGGAAATGATCATTACTCTTGATTTAATTTTTCGAGCATGATTCTATAGATCAAAAACCAACAGTCTGCTGTGGATTTTGAGAAAAAATTCGCACATATTCTAATTCAACTGTTAGAACAAGTCACTTGTCTTGAGTAGGATAATTTCATTTACTTCAAACAGTAGTCAAAACTGTGTGTTTCAGAATGCCTCTCGTAAATAGACCGTTGTATGGCGTAACTCTTATGTATATTCAAGTTCGTTACCGTGTTTTCTTCTGGTTCAGCGGTGTCGTTCTCTTGGCCGAAATCAAATTCGTAGTCAATTGGTTGCATCGTAGTTGTTTCTAATTAGATTGTATAGACTTGGTATTATAATATTATTAGGAGATAGTCATCTGATTGCGCACACTCATACTTTCGCGTCACATTGCTGAAAATAGGTAATATTTACCTTCGAATGTGTCCGTTTCCAAAACAATTGGACATTTATTTGCACAAGGTCGAGAAGAGTCCTCTGTCGTGTACTCCAGCATTTCACTAGAGTCAGGTTGACAATCGCATAAGGGCTGATGTTCGTTATTGATTAAGTTTGCAACTGTTGTTGTGTCTAATAGATTCTGTGATTCAGGAGAGCTACAGCTCGCACCAGAGCATTCGTTTTCATCGGAACTGTCAGACAGGGTTTCTGGCAATGAGGAAAGCTGACCCTCTGCTAACAGCAAAGCCAAAATAATACCATATCGAATTAATTTTGCACACATGTGTCGTTAGCAATTTTGACGTATTGTAGAACCTAGAAGCACTTTAAAATGAATAAGTCTTGTAAGATCCGTTTTTATAAAGGGCAGACAAAACACAGATCTTGTTGTACTTCGATTTGCGCTTCTAACAGGGATACAGCACTCTTATTTAGTCGACAACAAGCCCTCACAGGAACATCTAGATGAAAAGAAAAGACAAAACACTAGTTTCCAAATACAAAAATTTTAACCTAATACTATCTCGGTGGTAATTAACTTCTCAAAATACAATAGTTCATCTTCATCGAAAAATTTCGTCTGTTTATATAGCAATCGATTCTTACGAAACAATTACCTCTGACATTTAGTTGGAAATGTTTAGCAAAGAATACATATACAATTATTCTCATCTGAGAAATATGATATCATGACGTAAGGCAATCACACGAATGTTTACATCGAAATCGATCTATTAGATAACCTTTAGTTTAATGGAATTTAATCGCCTTCTCACCGTTGCTTTCTCTATGATAGATTGGTAAAAGGAAGACAAGCGCACAATACTTCCAAATCTATCAGAACAATGCATCACTTTGGGTAGTACCATTGAATAAAGATTAAAAGTTGTAAGCATCCTATGACTTCTAACGCTTCCATCGAATGCATTCATGAATTCGAAATTACTGTTTGAAAATCTTGTCGAAAACATTCAATGAAAATCAAAAATAAATAAAGATGTTGTCTATGAGAAATAGATAGAGTTTGAATATTTTTTTACAAACAAAGCTGGTCTTTGCATTTGCTTAGTGGTTTCTAGTTCCTGACATATAAAACTCAGTAGTTTATGACAGCAAATTTTATCTTACATGAGAACATTTTAAAAACTGTGATAAACGTATCATTCAGTTACACACCTATCGGGTGCGTTCTTATTTGATTTTTTATCATGAAATTGAAGATCTGTCTTTAATATTGACTTCAAAAAGAATTCGTGTTTGACATCACTTCATGTATCTCCTAATGATTGCTCTAAATCAACAACATTGGCTTGAATTCATTGATAGACGTCTAATTATATTTTTCCTTCGTTCATAAGCTCTTTCCATGCCGTCATTGTATCTTCAATCGGAACTGTTTTATCGATATGATGAACATAATAGAGATCGATTGAACTCATGCCGAGACGTTGAAGACTCTTCAATGAAGAGTCTTCATACATGCTCAACGAACATATTCAGGATCTCCACGAATAGAATAAGTACTGCTGGCAAGAGATACGCCACCAGATTTCGTAGCAAGAAATACCTATTAAATGCATTGCAATAACATAAAGATATCAATTTCAGTATTATTCAAAATCAATTCGAAAACAGATCAATCTATGCTTTAACGAAAAATCAAATCAATCTGCTATTCTCAACTTTTACTTTTCAGTAACCGATATTATAGTCGAAAATTCAAAATTTCAAAGATTAATAATTAGAATATTTTCTTGAATTGAAAATTAATTAAAAGTAAATGCAGAATTTTATTTTTTCGCCGACGCGTTTCGTATGTTCAAAAAAATAGTACTCTTCACGGCTAGAGATGAATATATCTGGAATAGAGAAAAAGAATATGATTTAAATTCTGCTTCATATTAAAAACTTCAAATATATTTCTGAGCGACTATAAGCAACATCTAATGTATTCATTATTGATAGAGATAATACGAGGAATAAAAGCTAAAAGATTTTGAACTGAAAACTATTACAATAAACAACTATGGAGCATTTATTGAATAAGTTAAAAGAGTTTTTGAAGTAAAGCAATGTTTTGTATCAAGTTTGTTTCGTAAGCCACTGGGCGTGGGTGTGGGTAAATTAATGAAAAACAGATCAACCTATCTTGTATAGAAAAGATAAATGAATCGGCTAGTCTCAACGTTTACTTTTCAGCAATCGATTTAAGTCGAGAATGAGTATATAATATATATTAAAATGTCCATGAATTTAAATAATTGAATTAAAAGAAATGCAGATTTTAATTTTGCCGACGTGCTTCATGTATTTATTTAATAATAAGAAACACTCATCAGGGCTCTGTATTATAATAAAAAAGCACAAAATAAAAATTGAATAGAAATTAAATTAAAGAAAAAAGAAAAAAGAAACAAAGAGAAATAATTAACGTATAGAACTAGCATAGGTACAAGTATTTGAAAATACTGTACGATAAAAAACTAAGATATAATAAAACTACTTTCGAGATATCAATTGAACCAATTTACAAATAATTAAGTAAAATGAACTATTTACATTGAAATAATCACGAGTAAGTAATTTACATAAATTGAAATTATTGACTTGAAGAAGTCCTGGTACTATATTCGATAAACAAAAAATGAGCAGTCATCCAATTCCGCAATGTTGAACATTCCGGAACCAGTTATGCCCCCGGAATCAGTTCCGTCGATTCCGGAATTAGGTCAACTATGAACACTGTCCGATTCCGGAATTGGTTCGTCCGATTCCGGAATTGGTTCGTCCGATTCCGGAATTAGATGAAAGCGGGGTCTCTGGGAATTCCTAGTAATTCCGGAATTACAACGTGTATCACTATTCTAGCTTGTCTTACCCATTTCGTGATGATCCGATTCCGGTCCGGAATTTCGGAATTAGATCAATACGGAATCGCTTGGAATTAGGCGGAATTCCTAGGAATTCCATGTAATTCCGTTGAATTCCTGTTCGACATAATTCCCGGAATTCCGTACCGGAATTGTATTCGCCACCGAGCTATAAGATATATCAAGTGTCCATTGATCACTCAATTCCGGAATCGCAAGGAATTCCAGGAATTGCTAGTAATTCCGGAATTACAACCTGTATCACTATTCTAGCGTGTCTTACCCATTTCGTGATGATCCGATTCCGGTCCGGAATTAGGTCGAACAGGAATTGATCGGAATTACACGGAATTCCTAGGAATTCCGTGTAATTCCATTCAATTCCGATCAATTCCTGTTCGACCTAATTCCCGGAATTCCGTACCGGAATTGCATGGTGTGGGTGTTGGCATAAGTGTGGGTGTGGATGTTGCCATAAGTGTGGGTGTGGATGTTGCCATAAGTGTGGGTATGGATGTTAGTGTAAGTGCGCTGAATTCCGGAACCGTTGGGAATTATGCGGAATGCGTTTGAATTTCGTGTAATTCGGGAATTGAATCGGAAGGGATAAACGGAATTCCGGGAATTAGATGGAATTGGTCGGCAGTGATTTCCGGAATTCCGGAATTGAATCGGAAAGGATAGACGGAATTCCGGGAATTAGATGGAATTGGTTCCGTGAGCGGAACTGGTTCCGGAATGTTCAACATTGCGGAATAGGATGTATTCTCCAAAAGATTTGAATTCTTTTGATAGATATTAAATTCTGTTAGATGAGTGGTTCATTCTTTGACTCTTGTATTTGAAAAACAACATCTAATTTTGGTGAAATCTCATTGCTGTATGGGTGAATTTTCATTATCTATGGGTGAAATATCATGAATTGTTGAAAGAGATGCTCTTCTATAAGACTCGGTGTGGGTGTGGGTGGGGGTGGGTGGATCTCACTGCATAGGAGTACACCCACACCCACACTCAAAATGTAATGCTTTAAGACTATGACAATCAATTGAAAGTTTATGTTAAGTTTAAGGTGAGCAACATGTAATTCAAAGTATATAATGAATAGTTGAAAGAAAGAAAAAGCTGAGAGGAGTAAAAAAGATATCGCGATAAGAAGTTGAGAAATGGTTTGTTTCTTTGTGCAAATATTCTTGACAACATTAATGTCTACAGGCAATGCTATTTAGGTAACTTCACGCCGTTCATCAGAAAAAAATCAACGCCTTTCTACGAGTCTCCACTCACACTCTTGATTGAAGAGTGGCAACTTTCTTCCTTTTCGAGGCGTGGGTCTCAGTCTGTATATGTGATAGGGCTACTTTATGGTAGACTCTTCATCCCCACAAACATGACCGTGTCGCAGATCTCGGCGTGCACATGTATACTCAAGCTCTCGCAACTGATGTCGAGGAGTTTTATTCACACGAAAACGGCTTGTTTTTATAATTAATCAACTTGATACTTCTAACGAGAAAAAAAAATGACTCGGACAAAAATTAGGCAGGATGATATCACCATTCAATCGTACGTTCTGACTATGATGATCAGAAAAATGCGTTATCAGCAATGATACTTGATTTCTACTTTATTTTTATAAAGTAAAATAGAGATAAAGCATTACCCCGACAAGCATTATTGTTTTCAAATAAATACAACGAGTTGCTATGACTTATCAAGTCACATGTCTTTTCTTTCTTCGGTGACACAGTAGATGAAATAAAATTCTCTTGTAAATATAATCTTGCTAAGCAGTAACAGTATCATCTGCATAGCTGTTCTCGTTTATAATGGTATATCGATCTTTGAATTATCTCCGTTCGTTACACTACGACATTACAGTACCTATCTACGCTAATGATGATAAAGTACAGCGTCGAAACTATTTAGTGGACGATGCGATTCGAACGAAACGATCACCTGTTGAATCGGTCTCAGATGAAGCTGTTCCATCATACATGGATAAACTTAAAGCAAGAGCAACGCAAAATAGTGTACAGCATATAATGGATAAAAGTAACTCACTATCTGATTTACAATCACATGGAGTGTATGAGAGAAAAGACAACGAAGAATTTACCCTAGTTTGGCTCGATCAAAGACTTGACAATGACAAACCTGATTTGCGAAATTTGGCTACTCTACGTGATGTCGTTGATTTTCTTCGTACATTCACCGATTCGGATGCTTGTTGCGAATATATCTCAAAAATTTCACACAGTAATGTCTATTTAATTGTCTCAGGAACAACAGGCTATCAAATTGTACCTAGAGTACACGATTGGATGCAAATACGTTCGATTTATGTCTTATGTCGACGAAAACAGGAGCAAAAGAACTGGACATCAGCCCACGCTAAAATTCGCCCAGAAGACATCTTTACTAATGTAAACCTTCTTATTGAAAGACTCAAAATCGATTTATACAAATGCCAAAAGGCTCATCGGATCAGCTACAAAATTGAGAGATCAATTGTTGATATTCATAGCAACGAGATAGATTTTCAATGGTCCTATCGTTTAACGCAGGCGCTTATTTCGTGGCCACGATATCCTGAAGCGCAGAATCAACTTGTTGAACATATGCGAGATTACTACAGAGGAAGTCAATCTAGTATTGAGTTTCTAGATGAATTCGCTAGAGATTACATGGCCACTGATGCCGTTCGATGGTACACTCGACCTGGTTGTTTATTTCGCCTTGTTAATCAAGCATTTCGCGATGAAAGTATCGATGAAATCTTCAAATATCGATCGTTCATCAAGGATCTTTCCGAGAATCTCACTTTGCTCCATAACGAACAACGAGAATATGGATCTAATCAATATAATCTCTATAGAGGTACTTGTCTACCATATGACGACATCGCTGTTTTGAAATCTAATCAAGGCAAATTAATTTCATTCAATGGATTTCTTTCGACAACAGTAGATCGAGATATCGCATTAGTTTTTGTACAGCCCAGCAATGAACAGGACCAAGTCGAAGCTGTCTTGTTCGAATACAATGTTAATACCAGTCTTGACACACATGCATATGCTAATATTGGCTCTCAGAGTGCCATCCCTGATGAGCAAGAATTTCTATTTAACATTGGTGCTATATTTCGAATTGAATCTATGAAATACGATTCCGATGAAAAACTTTGGTTGGTGCGTTGTGTATTATGTGAAAAAAAGGACCTTAGACAGCTTCATATTCAAGGAATTTCCAGCACTAATGAAAATGCTCTCACTGTCTATAATTATGGTGATATTTTAATAGAAATGGGTGAGTATGTGAGAGCAGAAAGGTTCTTCAGAGCGTTGTCCAATGAAGTGAAGGATGATAGTGCGAAAGCTATATTTCTTTTTAAGCTTCTCGATATTTACTCAATCACTAAAGATCGTATTAGATTTACTCAAACGTTCGAAAAAGCGTTACAGTATTCCTCTTCCCTAGAAGAAAAGCTGGGTAATGTCAATGCAGTTTTCAATCTTTTTCGGATACTTGGCTGTGCATGTAGTACAGCAGGACGTTTTGACGATGCTCTCGAATGCTTCGCTCTTGACATGTCACTTATCAATGACGATAACACCATCCAAAATCGAAGATGTTTGGCCAAGACGTTAGGAGCCATTGGCCAGGTATATTTCCAACGTGGTGAATACGCAAGAGCGCTAGAATGCTACCAGCAGGAAGGCAAACTAGCTGAAGAGCTCTATAAACCTACAATAGAGCGAGCTGATTTCTATGCACGTTTCGGGGCGTTATACCTGGCGCTAACGGACTTTGATATGGCTCTCCAGTATTTCGGTAAAGCACTTGATATTGCTCGCAATATTCTTCCTTCGAATCACCTAAGTCTGCATACACTTCAGAATAATATCGGTTTAGTGTATCTTCATCAGGGTTATTTGGAATTAGCTTTAGAATGCTTTACAACCATTGCTGATTCTCCTTCGCAAATGCCAGAATTATACATTCTTTCTGTAGCACTATATGCCAATATTGGTCTTATTTACTTATTGCAAAATAAATTCGATCTTTCCTTCACGTACTGTAATAAAGCAATTACATCCCATTTGAAGCTACACCCAAGATCGTATCATCCAAATTTGGCTAATTTGTACATTCAAACTGCTGATGTATTGAAGAAGCAAGGCAAATTTGACGATGCTCAAAACTTTCTCCTCAAAGCATATGAAATATTTGAAAAAAAGAATATGCCACTCAAGATAGTCGAATGTTTCACTGAGATGAGTAATTTAAATATAGAAAAAGGAAATCCGAGGGACGCCATGATCTGTATGACAAAGGCTCTTTCTATGGGCAAGCAAATTTGTGGTGAAAATCATATAAGTGTTGCAATAGCTTATAGAAATATGAGCACAATATGGCTTCTCATCGGCAATACTGAGCGAGCTCTTCAATTGGCTGCACGATCAGCATTGATTTTTAAATTGTGGTTGGCTAACGCACCTCTTGAATGTGCAACTACTTATGAAACTCTAGGATGCGTACACTTGAAAAAATCGGATTATTTATTAGCACTCAAATACTTTAAGAAAACAATACAGATCCGTAAGAAGTACTTGTCTGACGATCATTCTCAAATGGGAACAGCATATTATCGATTGGGACAAGCCTACGTATTTCTTGAGAGATTTGATATTGCTCTGCAATACTATCAAAAGGCACTAGGTTCAGGTGGTGAACATTATTTAATTTATCGTGATTTAGGTGACATGAATTCCTTGCAAAATAAGAATGATCAAGCTTTAGAGTTCTACGAGAAGGCGCTTGCTAGTGCAAAACATAAATATGGAGACAATCAGGTAGAAATTGCGACAATCTACTCGAGAATAGCTGACGTACATTGTTTACGAGAGGAATACAAATTGGCTGCGGAATATTTTATTAAAACTCTCGACTACTATGAAAAGAACGTTCCTGACCGACGAGAATTTATTTCTGAATATTCGTTGTATGTGGCCCGAGCATTCAATGAGGTAGGTCAACATACCCAGGCCATCGATTACTTTAAACGTGCTTTAAAGAATCTCCCAGAAGGTGATTCTCAACTGTTGAAAACTCGATGGGAGATCGCCGTTTCTAACAAATTGCTAGCCGATAAATACAGCAAAGAATCAAACTTCGTGAAAGCCCTTCAATATTATGAACATGCACTCGAAATCTTGAGACAATGGTTTCCCTTGCAAGTTGATATGATCGAGACAATTGAGTCATGTTTCAAGCAAATAAGTGCCTTTTTGCGTTCAAATCAGTAACAAGTACATTACGCGACTTTTTTTTATTGACATTTATTGTAGAAATGAACCTTCTCAAGTGGTGAAAAATGAAGAACTATAAGAAAAGCAGTACGTGCTTCTGTCGGTGTGGGGTGTGGATAAAGAGGAGAGGATGGGTGTGGGTATGGGTCTGGATGTGAAGAATAACCACAATAAAATTGGCTTATTTCAATTTTATTTCAATTCTATAAAGTAGAATCATTATCAAGTGGCAATAGATATTAGTATGATCCAAAGATCAAAACCAAATACCTAAATTAAAAAATATTTCAAAGAAATTCGAAAATTTCAAGAATATTTATAATTCAAAATAGAGTGTGAAAAATAACCACAATAAAATTGGTTTATTTAAATTTTATTTCGATTCTATTAGAAAAGAATCATTATCAAGTGACAATAGATATCAGTATAATCCAAAGATCAATGAACTTAATATCTAGGTAGGAGAAGAAATGAATTACACGAGATTTTTTATATAATCTTTATTACAGAAGATGATATTAGAAAAGCGATTGAAGTTATTGAAGAGTTTATTGAAGGTGTTATCTGAAGGGTTCAGTCTTTAAAGTTTCATGTAACATTTTATATCTTTGTTTACAATATTTTATTTTTTTTATTTCTTTTCGGATGTGGAATATTCGGACAAGGAATATGAAGTTGACGATGGTATATAAAAGTTTTGTCAAATAATCCATTATTGAATTGGCGTAATATTTCAATTCCATTTTCACCATTTAATAAACATAATCCGGTAACGTATTTCCAAAATTCACTAATATGTCTTAGATAATCGGGGACTAGAGTTTCTTCAAAGGAGAGGGGACACTTTGTACACAAACGGCCCTAAAAGAAAATCAGTTAAAAATCAGTTCTAACTACGATTTTATGCTGTACTATGTGTGAGTACACGATTCTGAGCTTTTACAGGACATTTTCAAAAGGTTTTAGTCTCCGTCTACAAACAGTAGATCTCTCCAATAAAACATACACTGTCGCGACTGTTGCGGCAGCCAGCAGCACATTATACAGATCCGCTAATAACCTGCAGATATAACTTTTCAAAACCTACAAAATGATCATAAAACATCCAATAAAATATGCTGTGCTCGAGAATGGTGAATATAATGCTTAACAGATTTGTATTTGCAGTTGCTTATCGTGCAGTGACGGAGAAAACAGTGTCTGAGTATCAGTTCATGGAATAGGATTGGATATTTTTATGGACATCCTTATTTATACTGCATTGGATACTAGTGGATCTATTGTTACGGACATCCTTTTTTAGTAGTGCATTGGATCGTATGGGATGTTTTTCATGGACACCCGTATCATTAGCTTATTGGGCAGTAGCCCCTTCCTCTTTGGTCAGCGTGTTGGGTTCAGAGTCAAACGTCTTATAGGACGTCCTTTTTGTCACCATCTGTGACCGGGATTCGATACCGAAATTGTCAAAGTTAAATAAACAATCGCTATCCCCATTGGACCACTCGGTCGGTTTAAATCAGGGCGGATGAATAATACGAAGAGTATTGAATTGGTTAGAATATATAAAAGTTAAACGGACAGGTAATCACATGTGAAAAGCAAAGGAAGACAAGGGTATAGAATGGTCTTTGCTACGGATGGAACTTATCAATCTTGAATTTCTATTAAACAAGCCGAATCGTTGTTCATACTTTTATTTCTGAAGAAAAATTTCATATATATGCATATATATATATATATATATATATACTAGCGGAGGTACCCGATGGTGGTTCAGATAATGCTATTGAATATGATCTGCGTATGAGAAAACGACACTTTCTCGATCTTTTAAGGTTCTTAATCTGCAATATTGTAACATACGCTTAGATTTTACCGTTTTCAACTTTTAGTAATTAATATTGTAAACATTCCTGAAATTTCTTTTCTATATAATTTTTATTTATGAACTTTTTTAGTAAAACAATAATGAAATAGAGTTTTTATTGTAAAGCTGTTGGATACATAATGTTTTTGGTCTTTGCATCTGGTGCAAAAACACATAAATTCTTCCCAGTTCCCACTCTTGAGCAGGCAACATAAAGTTGACCATGAAAAAAGCAAGGACTTTCTAGATTGATACCAGCGACTTTAAGTGATTGTCCTTGTGCCATATTAATAGACATCGCGAAAGCAAGACGAACCGGAAATTGAAGTCGCTTGAATTCAAACGGCATATCAGTAGGCGCTAAAGGTATTCGTGATATGAATACATCTTCACCCTTTGCGCACCCTGCCAAAATAGTTGCTTCAATAACATGAGGCATTAGGCTTTCACGGCCAGTCTTGTGCCGTTGCACAGCCTTGGTGCATCCAGATTTCTCAGACGCATAATTGGAGAACCGACTTTTAGCAGTAAGTTGTGTGGCGGCATTCCTGAAGGTTCAAGGGAATTGAGAAATTCTATTGTATACTGAACTGCGTCATCGACTACCGTATCAAATGGCCTGTATGATGTTGTTTCTCCAGGAAGTTCCTGTTGAATCTGTAAATTGATGGCATTTACGCTATTATTTTTTGGTGCTAGAGTGACACGTTCACATAATCATTTGTGGTCTTTATAATGAGCCCGGAGGTATGGAAATGCATTGGTTTTAAGTATTTCAATTGAATCAACAACGTTACAAAAGTTGTTTGAAAGACTGATGATATCACTTGCTGAATGAACTCGTGCTTTTCCGTTTCCTATCATGAGCAGTTGTTCAGCAAATTGTCCTGGAGGCGCGTCGCCCTGTAGATGGACTCGCATGTTCGTTTTGAGTCCTAGTGTTATAACATACTTCCGGAGATATGAGGCTTTCAAACAGGCTTTAAGCTCGTCGGCCATGGTGCCCTTTGGAATTACACGCAATGATAATTCGTATATCCCTGTCCGAATTATGAATGGTTTTCAGGCAACTTTCACTTCCTGGCCACTTCGTTTCTATTCTCAGCAGCTCTTCTTTTCATACTGTGTTATAGGTCTCGAGGCAATAATCTTTCTTTACCAAAACATCTCCGACAAAGTTTCGCAAAGCTGATACAGTATTCAAATTCCTCGACTTTGAAAACACTCGGTAAAATTTTTAGAAAAAATTGCTCTGCTAAAAAAATTGGCAACCAAAAATTTATGGAAAACTGATGTCGGATTCGTATTTTCCGGTTTCCATATCATTTTTCAAACTTTAATGAAAATAAATCTTTTTTACAAAAAAAAAGATCCTTGTAAGAAACAGCTCAAAAACAATGACGAATTCCAGATCTCCGACACCAATAACCTATAGTTAAAAAGACATCAGCAGCTATTCTGAGGATTTCGAGGAGTTCTTGTATCTGCGTTTCTATTGGACGAACGTACGAATTTTGCTCGCTCAGCGTATGACCCTCCTTTCAGTAGAGGAAACTATTACTAATGTCTCTATTTTTTGTAGAACGAACATGGTCAATTGTTATCTGTACTTGATCAATTGCATTTGGCAATTAATCATGGAGACATTAATTTCGATCAATTTGCTGATGAAGTTCAGAAACTTAAAGCTGCATAAAAGCAATAGAAGAACAAAGAAAGTCATTTTTTTTGATTATTGACACATGATTTATTGTTGTACATAAGCCTATATAAATTCTTGGATAATGTTGTTGTTTTTCAAACAAAGTATATTCATAGAAACCATTGTATAATTTCATTAGGAAATAATCAGTTTGTATATTTACTTTAATAAATTATTTTTAATTATTACGATGCGAAGCACTGTATAGCAATCATCATTTTTTGACATGATGATCTAAAGATCGAAGAGTTGTAGAATTTTTATTCAAACATTTTTATGAAGTTCTATATTTGTAGGCGATGAGATAAGGTGGCCACACTTAGAAGAAGTATACATCAATCAAGCCTATATCTCTAACAGTGTCAACGAGCGAATCTGTGTGAAAAGTAGAGTAGTGGCGGGGGACCAATGTGGACGTCACTTCCTGCCGATGGCTATCAAGACATTTAGTCGAGCCCCGCATGAATTTGATGAAAATGACCAAGATCAAATCAACACCACAATTGAGCGAAGAAGAAAAAAAAGGAGAATACTAATCGAAGAATCCATTAGAAAGTCTTTCGACTGCTGTCGATGGCAGCAATTGTAATCTTAAAAAGCAATGATCGGCTATAATACAACATAATCTTATTGAAGGAATATTTTAAATCCACAGATTATATGTAATTCGAAACATCACAGGTAATCATCTCTTGATTGCAAACAAAGGTTACAAGTCACTTACAGATCATGATAATCTCTTCTTTATGGACAATTAACTTTGTGTACTATCCAATTCTATATGATAGTTCTCTAATAATGGATTTAACGTCTGTGAATCTATAGAAGATATATTTCGCATAATTTCAATTTTTTCCTTGTGGCTGACTTCATATTTTCATCGATAACTTCATAATCTCAGATCTTATATCTTTCCTAAAACACGACCTGCATGATATGGTGCCCATGTGCGTGGGAGGAATGGCTCGAGTTTAGGGAAATTATTGAATGTAGGATAATTTTTTAATAAAAATAAATTAGCGAAAAAATTTTTCATCTGAAGATATTAGGCGATGAACCAGCTAATTTATTTCGAAATGGAAAATAATAAGATTTCTGTTCCTTTTATTTTTATTACAGCTCATCCCTCTCAATCAACGAGTATACGCCCTTCAACAATGGGCACGCTTGAAACATTTCGCTTTGCTAATGTTGCCGATAACCCAACTGCAAAAACACACTTATATAGTGATAACAAAAGACGTCTGTGTCAAAGAAGCAAAAAATAATCAAAAGAAAGAAATATATATTGAATAGTAATCAAAATCAATCATACCAGTTGGTTCTTCTTTTCGCTGCCTTAACTTTTTTAAATCGAACTTTAGATTTCGTCAAATGTAAGCGAAGCAAGTGAATATTCGTTCGCTATATCTTGGAGTAAATCGATTCGACAATGAACAAGTACTCAGATCACCAGAACCAATCAATGATTGATTGAATGTTTTGGTTTTTAGATCACATTATTTCAGTGTGTAGTGACTTTTTCTCTCCCTTCGTTTCTTTAAAAAGTATGGGTATGCGAATGACTAATAGGATAATACATCTAGACCCTCATTCGCACCAAGCAGGACTGGCTTGGTCAAACCTAAAAAGAAAGTATCCGTGTGGGTTAGGAAACTTTTGAATATTATGCGAAGAAACCAAGAGGATCTGATCTCTGTATTCTAATAGTTTTTAACATATCCTATACTTATCAAAGAACGAAAAAAATTATTTTTAAGAGTAAAAAAAAACAATTCTGGACGAATTGGGGTTCGAACCCAAGACTTTTCGCATGCAAAGCGAACACTCTACCGCTGAGTTACACGCCCGACGACAGAGTTTGATTTATTTGTTAACATGAAATGAATCATCGAATAGCTAAACGTAAGCATTGGTCACAATACTATAGACTTAAAAGGCATCTTTGTTAGAAGTAGAACTTTCAATTAATGCTTACATTCATTGGAAAAGAAAATCAATTTAAGCATTATCACATAGATGCAATGATTTAGTTCGATGTCGTATTTTTATTTTCGTTTCGACCTCCTACAATGCTCAGTGGGACATTGATATAAATGTATTTCATTCTTTAAAAGTACGTTGACTTTACTAACTAATTAGTTCAAAGTATATCCATTTCAAAACATGCTTGTACTCGTTGTCTTTGATGAGTCATACTGCAATATAAATTTTGTTTTTTTTCACTTACTTTTTTTTAAATATGCTGTTCTTTTGTTTGTACAATAAGTTTCTCATTGGCCAATCAATCTTCTCTCGAACTCATCTAGGTATAAAATTTTGCGCTCAGTTGCTTTTCTTTCTCTATCAATGGCAACAATTAGTTAGTTATACTCAATAAAATTGAATCAACGGAGCTAATCGATTCCGATGGAAGAATTCGAATTACAAGAAATCCAACCGAAAATCGTTCTCTTCAAACTTCCTTTTGCTAATAAAAAATGTCCATTGATTTTATCTGAACAAGGTAATGCAACAGCTTTATATCGCTATTCAAATAGTGGTCCATTTGTTGAATTATTGGATCCATTAAGCATTAATCTTCTTCCAGCTTTAAAATTTTTGATTATTCAAGGAGATTTTTGTATATTTAATTTTGGTATTATTGAAAATCTTGATCTGATACCGCCAATGTTAGAGCAACTCAAAGAACGTTGTTCACACATTCATAAAGATCTCTACAAACATATTATCGATAATACTCTTATGAAACAATCATTTGATTCTCTGTTGAATATTATTCCGTTTGATCCTCACACTGAATTAGTTTCAGAAATCTACGAAAAAAGTAAAACAACATTTCGAATAGTTTTCTTTGCTCAAACAAATGATTTGCCGACAATAAAAAATCGTTCTAATGATCCGATTCTATCATTATTTCACTGTATTTGTATTAAATCATAAACTATTATTTTTCTTTCTTCTTCTTCCTTTTTTTACAAAACATAGCATAAGAAGGTGCACGAAAGAAAAACAAGCAAAAAAAAACGAACTATTAACAATCGTCATCACAGAGAAAAAGAAGCGTTTTATGAATAAATGAAATTATTTTTTTACGAGAAAAACATATGTGTCACTGTTTTTTTCTTTTTAATAACAAGAAAAAAAAATGATTGCTTGAGCTACGTCTATATAAATAAACGAACACAAATTCGAAATGATAAAATTAAGAATGCATTTTTTTTTTGCAGTTTGGAATGAAAATAAACTATGAGGAAATCATTCTGTATTTAGATTTGTGCAAAGTTCGCGAAGCATTTGTAAATTTTGTGGTGTCACTGATGAACTAGAACTTGCTTTTTCAAGTAATACTGAGCCAAGTTCTGTATAAAGTGCTGTTGTTAATATATGTATCGATGAATTTAGACCATTAGTAGCGCTGGCCGATTGGGCTATATTTGTTGATATTTGACCACGTAATAGAGATAATAATTCCCAAAATGTTGGTAATAGATGAATTTCAACTTGTTTCGGTTTGCTTTGACATACATGAGGTGCAAGATCTAGGAAATTAAAGCAAGATGAAATTAGCATTTTGTTTTTCTAATCTAAGTTACAGCCTATTAGTTGCACTCTTGTCGGTGCAAGATAAACATCAATGTGAGATTATCAATAGTAATTGAAAAACGAGTAAATTAAAAAGTCGCAATGACTTTAAAAGTAGTGTAGTTCTAGTACGTGTTGTTTAGATGTAAAAAGATCTGATCGGAAGTCGTTCCGATATCAAATGTAGTAATTAGCATAGGATGAAATCTTATTAAAAAATCTTTTTTTCTTCTTCTATGGAATCTTTTGACTTTGTTGCAATGAATCATCAAGGTGAACAACGATTGTTTCTTTTACGGAAAGCTTAATTTTCAATTCAGATTTCAATAATCCCAACCTGACTTTCGCTTCTCTATTTTCTTATAGCAATCAAAAATAAGCTTACTCGCTAATTTAAGAACAATCTCGGGTCGAATACGAAGATTGCTATTTTGACTAAGTGTACACAAAGGCTGTATTAATACACCACAATCTAGTCAAAAGAAAACAAAAAATTATTTATTTGATTCTAAGGTTCTTGTTTACCGATATATTCAATAGCTGTGTCGATAATATCCGATGGAAGTTGAGATATCTCTCGATTTTTCGATGCGATGCTTTGTGCAATGAGAGGCAATGCTGAATTAATCACACTTGATAAAGCATCGCCCAATATTGGTATCACTTGATGCATTGTGTTCAATGATTTGAGTACAACTTTTGAATTCATATCAGCTAGACAATCATTAAAACCATCAAATATTTGTACAAGTGATTGTATAGCTGTATCAGTTTCGAGTTCACATAACTTTTGAAATTCTTCAATACCGCTTAAATGTTCACGAAAATCTGAACTACGCATTTGTTTCGTTAAATCTCGAACTTGTTCGGCTTGATCCGCTGTATTTATTTTACGTGTTGATGAAAATTGATTTGTTAAATTTCTAAAAACAAAATAACTTTAGATAGCATTTTTTTGCCAATTCTACACGATTTATTTACCCATGCGAGCCTAATTTATCATTTGACAAAGTTCGTCTACCATTATTTCTAGCGGATTCACTTGGAGTTTCACCAACACCTCCCTTGTGAAAATCTCGTTTTTAATCAAGAAGAAAAATAAGAATATGTAACATACTTTCGCTCGAATGCTATCCAAAATTTCACACATATTTGAATAAGCAGATGGATTTAGATAATGTTTCATCATCGAATCAAGTTCATCGAATGGCATTAACATATGATAGATTTTTTTACCGTACCATCTAAATAAAATCTTATCAAGCGTATTGTTCATGTGCAAATATTTTCATACCTAATTTCTGGTGGTCCATCAGATGCAAATGTGGCCGCAACTTGTAAAACTCGTTCGGTTATATCACGAGTACCACTGAGAATTTTCGTTGGTCCTAACTTTTCACAAACAAGATAAATACATTTAGCCGATGTTTTTCTTGCAGCTGGATTACGATGGCTAGAAATAAAAATTCTATTAATGTACGAAGAAGTAGTGGAATATTTTTCGACGGGTGTGACGAGAAAATCAGCTTAAAAATGCGAGATACTCCGATAATAAAGATGATCTTAAAAATGTAAAGAATACTAAATTCTCTGATTACTACGGAGAAAAAAACACTACTACTTTTTCTTTCAGCCAAGACTCTCGATTATTTTCAACGGGGGTTCATTCGTATTTTTAAATTAATCGAGCTATTCGTTAGTTGAATCGCAAAAAGATTTAAAAAAAACAAACGGACATAAGCATAATCCTTTGTAAGAATTGAAAAATAAAGTATTACTTAGCTACTGTTCCTGATCGTAAGTAGATTACTTTCTTGTAACCGATTTACGACAGGTTTATTAAGCATTCTTTTACATCTAATCTTTAAGAAACAAACAAAGACGCTAGATCATAAACTTCAAATGTATTCCTCACTCAATAAGTCCCTAGAATATCTCTCATTTAACTAATAATAACACAATTTTGTTTTTCAATTACCTTGCGCCACCCGCTATTAGAGCTTGTAATGCTTTTTGAAGTGTTACATTGTCGACCATCGTTTGAAGACATTTTTCAGCATCCGATCGAAAGAATTCGTTACTTTCTGCACTTTTCTGTATGATTGCTTTAATAGTTAAATCGAGTTCAATATCCATATTACGTTTTAAATATTTAAACATATCACAAAATGTTGATAGAGCAAAACGAGCAACTTGCGATCGAAGATTTTTTACCTACGAAAAGAAAATAATTTCATTTTTAACTTACGAAAATAAATAAAACAAACTTCTTGAATAAGAACTAAAACCACTTGATGTAAATTTTGTGTTACGGTATCAGGATATTGTGCGATGAGAAGTTGAAGTAAATTAAGACCAGAGCATTTCTGCTCCCAATCGTCGCTTGCAATCGATTCCATTGCTTCGCGATAGACATGATCAGGATTTCTCAATTGCTCAAGTGTTCGGTCTTCCGATGATGAGCGATGGAACGCTAAATGTTGCTCATTTGTTGGTATATCACGTCGATTATTAAATGTTTGTGAACGAGCCATACTAAAATAAATAGATGAATTCAATTGACAGTACTAATTTCATTACATAAAAAATTTTAGCAACATGAGAACGTTGTTTTGTTGGAAAATTAGGTAGAATTGAATTTTTATTTGAATCAATTTGTCGTCGTGCTGTTGGTGGTGGCATATCATTATTAATTGCTGTAAGATCGGGTTGCGATGAATATCGACTTGTTGATGTTGATGAGGTCGGCATGTCATTATCATATTGGGTGTCGCCATTATTATTATTATTATTATTATTATTGAAGTCTTGTTGTTGAGAACGATTTTCTCGATCTTGTCGACGACGTTCTTTCTGTTCAATTTTTTCTTGCGTTTTCTGCTGTACACGTAAACGAAACGATGCTGAGAGAGATTGACCCATATTAACAAACTAAGAAGAAAAAAATGATAGATATTTTCCCTGCATATCTCAATTGGTTGGAATTCAATAAATTGTTTCATTTTTCTAATCGAATTTTGTTCGTATAAATTCGCAGGCAAGATCTCTATTACGACCCTACTCTTTAGTTTAAAGAGTACCGTAGATGTTGTTATGCCAATAAAGTCTTGCCATAATAATAATGAACTCTTTTCTAAATAAAGATCTCGAGTATTGAGTAAAATACTAGTGAGGACATTGAACTCTATGTGATGAAAAACAGCACTTACATCCTGTTTTACATTTTAATCATGTAGTGATTTTGCTAAAAGGTGTTCTCCTTTGGTATAATATATCAATGTCTCGAGTTCTTATATTGATATATTTTTGTTGTTGTAAAGCTCTATAGAAGAATGATTACCCCAGGTCGATCGTTCCGGTCACCCGATGCTGTAGGAACCGGCCGGAAAGATGCGGAAAAGTCAGCGTATTCAGGAGGAAAACAGGGGAAGTCACTGGAACCTGAACGTAGTATTCCGATCGGTATCCACCGGGAAAAAATCCAAGAATTTCCGGTCGGAATACTGCTTCCACTTTTCAGCAATTTCCCGTATTTTCCGTTTGTTTCCCGCCGTACCGCCACGGCCTGGGACGCTCACTAGAGTCTTATTTAAACTTACATTTTCATTTTCTTTTGAATCACTATCGAATTCATCCGACAGTGTATCAGTATTATCACTTTGTCTATTCAATTTATTATTGACTGCATTATTATGTTGCATTCGCATTATATCCATGTCACCATTGGTACGTAGCGGCATCGGAACAGCTAGACGATATCATTAAAACGAATTTTCATTTTCATGATTAGTTTATCAATAAATTTACCTTTGCCTATTACTCCTATATCTTGGCCATCATCACGAGTCGATGCATCATTGTTGTTATTGTTTGTGTGTGTAGTAGTACTTACAGGATTGGTCACTACAGAGCCTGAATGTAAAAATAACTGCTCAAGCATGTAGCCAAATACAAAATAGTTCAAAATATTCTAACAGTCGACTTCTCTTTTCACGAGGAAAAAATCCAATGAGGAAAACTAAAGGTTTGAAGAAGAACAGAAATTTCCTTTCCTTTTCTACTTTTAGTGCATACGAAGATTTTCCACAATTTTTGCTTAAAAACAAGATAATAATAAGTTATTATAAATGAAGGCATCTGATATAGAACACGAGTTGTTTTATGGTGTTAAATTTGAATGAAATAAGAAAGCGTAAATTTTAGCATTCAAAAAGAAAAAGAAAAAGGAAAATGTGTTGAATTACTACTTAATATCCTCTAATTTTTCTACAAAATAAGTTTTACTCGTTTTATATTCAATATCGAGATTGTTTTTGCATAAAAAAACATTTTTATTTCCAATTCAACACTTCGCCTACCACTTTTTGTTTTTTACAAAGAAAAATAAACTATTTCCGATCTAGTGTTCTTTCAAATATTGGATCAAATTCTTGGAATGTTAAAACTATATATGGAATCTACACCGTTGCCATTGGGTGCTTTCACGCAGGTTCTCCCAATTTTACATTGACTTTCTACGGGCACGATTTAGCCATGCTAGTTTTGTACCTCGCATCGAGTTGTGTATGAAATCATATTTTTTTTTCAGTGAAATCATGCGCTAAGTCCTGCAGATAGGGCTCAAAATCCCATTTTCTAGAGATCCGATCCGGTAAACCAACAATTTTCGGTTTTTGTGAACACGATATTGAAATCTTAATTAGACCATTGGATACAGCATAAAAACTTCTCTCTATGCAATAATTTTCGGGTGTGTTCATAAAAATCCCAAAGCGCCGGCGTACCTGCAAAAATCGGGAATTCCTGAAAACCCGATGTGACGCCTTCATTTTCTCGAGAACCACATATCAGAATTCGTTCAAATTTTTTTGTCAGTAGTCTTCAGTAAGTACTACTACCCGCTAGAATATCAGCTCCTCCATCCTAGAATTAAGAAACTTATGATGCCTACCATGTCTTAAAATGCGCAGTATTAAGCTTTAAGATGTTTCGATTATGATTGTGAAACTAGTCATATCAATGATGCATACACGATAAATTTTTATGTTGAATCCAAATATACTAATAGCTGCAGTCGATTGATAGAAGAAATTCCTGATTTATAAAGAAAAAAGTAAAAAAACGCAGAGAAACATAGGCTCTTGAAGACTTTAGTTTCTTCTCTAGTGTTCACCTTCTATTGAATCTATGAGATAGTGAAACTTGGTAATAGGTGTGTATGCTGATTCAAATATGGAATTTAGCTGCTTTTGCGAGAAAATATTTCAGCCAATATTCACCGAAGTGTTTTTATATCTTATCACATAGGGGTTGCATAATTGTGTAGCTGTAGCGTGTACTAAGCTTGGGATATTGGCAAACAAACATATGTCACTTCCTAATTCACTATTGAGTTCGACTCGTCTAACAGAAAATTGAAATACGGCTCGTCGCCCGAGTGGATAAGCTCTATTAAAAAACGCACGTATTACTTGAAACATCGATGTTTACTACGGTTTTTCACTTTTTTCTCTATAAATCAGGAATTTCTTCTATCAATCGACTGCAGCTATTAGTATATTTGGATTCAACATAAAAATTTATCGTGTATGCATCATTGACATGATTAATTTCACAATCATAATTGAAACATCTTAAGACTTAACACTGCGAATTTTAAAACATTGTAGGTATCATAAGTTTCTTAATTCTAGGATGGAGGAGCTGATATTCTAGCGGGTAGTAGTACTTACTGAAGACTACTGATAAAAGAAGTTGAACGAATTCTGATATGTGGTTCTCGAGAAAATGAAGGCGTCACATTGGGTTTTCAGGAATTCCCGATTTTTGCAGGTACGCCGACACTTTGAGATTTTTATGAACACACCCGAAAATTACTGCATAGAGCCAACTTTTTATGCTCTATCCAATGGTCTAATTAAGATTTCAATATCGTGTTCAGAAAAACCGAAAGTTGTTAGTTTACCGGATCGGATCTCTAGCAAATGGGATTTCGAGCTAGCGCATAATTTCGCTGAAAACAAAATATAGCTTCCTACAGCACTCGACACTGGTACAAAATTTGCATGGCTAAATCATGCCTGCAGAAAGTCAATGTAAAATTGGGAGGACCTGCGTGAAAGCACCCTATCTTGTTTTTGTACTCGACATTAACGTATTACATTGCTATTAAAGTTTGATCGCATCATCTGTATTTGGTTAGATGTTTTCAAGTATGTTTCCATCTACAAATGGATGTTAATTTCCCTCTAGTTTTTCATTGGGCAATGAAGAGGAAGATTAGCAGTCGATCATTCATTAGAAATTTGAATAGTGACTTTGACAATAAGAACTTTTTAGTCTTTTGAATACTTCCACCAGGTAGCTGATAGACAGAAAGAAGAACACTTGATTCAATAGTTTTTGAAAAAGAAGAAGCAAAAAAAACTAGCCTGAAACAGTAGAAACGTTTATTTCTGTTCGATAATCGAGATTCTAAGTACGAAATTACTTTTCTGTACTCAAATGAAATACATGATTGATGTTGAAAGTCTTGCGAACTACAAGATAATGAAATATCATTTTCAAGACCCTTACGTCTCTTCTAATCGAGCAAAACCATTTAGTCTTAGGTATCTTTCACATAGTATCTTCAGATATTCAACGACAATATGAAACCGTAAGAATTACGTGGTGAAGTTCTATCTCGATTAGCATGAGAAATCAAAATATCAATAAAAACAAAAGTGTCAAGCTGATGAGACGCTTTAGATTCTCATTAAACAGCCGGTATACATCTCGATAGAATCATAACGGTTTCAAATTGATTTGAACATATCCCAAAATAATCTTGATTACTAACTCTACGGTTTCGAATGATTCTTATATGACTATGTGATTACCTTTAATAAGTTTTGCTCGAGGTTTACTGGCAATGGGTTGTTGTTTGTCATCATTCTTTTCGTTAAGTAATCGTCTTGTTGAAATTTTTTCATCTGCATAAGCACGACCGACGACTTCAACATGATTATTATTCGGTCGACGAGTTTTATCATTCGTTGAATGGTTATCATGATTTTGTCCTGATAATGGATCTGATGGTAACAATTGAGATTTGTCAGCTTTAGGTTTTGAACCAGAACGAGCAAGACGAGGTTTCGTAGTAAACAATTGATCTTTGCCAACAGATCTATAAATATATTACAAGATAATATAATTCGAATGTTTTTCTTCTATTATACCTTGTAGAACTATTCGAATTGTATTCAGTATCACGCCCCGATTGTGAGTAAACTCCACTTTCGTTGCTATTCTCTGGTGTTAAAGTTCGTGCTGATGTTGATTCTAGATCGCTACCGTTATTAAATAGACGATTGACTTTACGTCTTGTTGAACTACTATGTACTGATCGAGCAGGTTTTTTTGATTGGTGACCATTGGTCTACGTTAATAAGTTTTTTGCTTTATAAAAAAAAACAAATATTGAATAGTTAACCTGATGTATACTGCCATTTTCTGTATTATTTGGTATGTAGCGTGATTCTATTGCACTATCGATGTCTTCATCATAGTCAGTATTTGAATCCAAACGACGTGCAGATGATTTTTGTTCGTTATGATTATGAATTTGTGATGTGGCTAAGATATTATGAGATGCAGGAAATCGACCAATAGCAGGACGATGTGGTATTGCTGGACGAAATTGTGGTAAACTATTGTTCTGCAGATTTTCTGTACAAACATAAATAAATAAATAATAAAATACGATTTAGAATATCCATGAGAATTATGTTAATCACACAAGAGTCTCAGATTAAAAACAAAAACAAAAGAATAAGGTCACTGCGTAAATTTAGCATCTTAGTATTTTAATCTCTTTGTTAAGCTAGTATGTTAGCGTAATTAAAAGGGAAAACACAGAGAAAATGGTAGAAAAAAACCTTGTTGATGGACTGCTGTCAGTGGTTCTTTTCGGTGAATGTTTGTTGTTGATAATTTTTTCGCCCAATCATCCGTAAATACTCTTTCTGTTAATGTCAATGGACGATAATTATTATTACCAGTTACAGTGAAATCCAACGGTGGTCCACCGGTTGTTACTGTTGTAAGAACTGTTGCTAGAAATATAAAATCCGAAAATATCTTTCACTTAGAATTAAAATCACACGGAGCGAATTTTCCCTCTATTTCAATTAATAAACGATTGTTTAAATAGCTACAGAAGAAAAAAAACTAGAACTGTTTATAACTCAACTAAATAAGACCGAAAAGAAACGAAAAGAAAAGCTAATTAATTTTTTTTCTTTTGTTTTTTCTTTCAATAAACTTCAATATTGTAAAGAAGAAAAAAAGAATCAGCAGGAGACAGAAAAATACATTTGTTCAAGAGCTCTAAATAAAATAATTTGTTTTATTATGAAATAAAATAAAAAAAACTGTTATAATACACTCGGTTAGTTGTACTACTAGATGTTGAGCTCAGTAATACATATTAAGTAGAAAAGAAAAACAGTAAGAGAGAAAGAAAGAATTCACCAAAAGCGGAAACTATTGCTTATACTACGCTACCAATTGCTGTTTGACGTTTTGTCGACATATTCAATCGTCGACTTAGTCGGTGGCGTTGCTGACCTGATGTGCAATGAGGGGAATAAAAGAAAACCAGGCCAAAAAACAATCGACTTTGATCAACAACAAACGAAAAAAGAAAATAAAATAACGACTGATGACTTACGATTAATGGCCGTTTCATATGGATGATTATTATTGGTATATCGATGGGAACCAAGATCGGCATTGACTGGCTTCAATGGAGGTATTTCACGGCTTCGCATTACCTAAAAATGAGAAGACGTGATAAGAAAAAAAACCTGTGAGTAGGATTCTTGTACGTTTTCAAAAAGAGAATGAACAGATAATTATGACAGTATGAGACATTCGGATAAGCATGGATTATCTTGTCTTCTAAGATATTTTAGAAATGTTTGAATTATATTTCTTAAGTTTTCGAAATATGACGTCAAATAGAATAAAATATGAACTGTTGACACTTACAATTATTAAAGATGTATCTCGTATATAAACATTCTAGAAGATCTAGACTTTTTTGATTTTCATATTTATTCTTTTGTATGAAGGATAAGTGAAGAATTTAGAACATATTCTGCTAATTTCTATAAGTTATATCTACTAACTGTTTATCTACTCGTTTCTAAAAGATCACTGTAGCAGAGTGAACTTCTCTTCATGTTGAAATCTCTCGAGTTTCTCCTTGAAACAATCTATTTGAAATTTTCGGCGTAACATTTTGCACATTGCATGGTCTCGATGAGACTGCATCATGTATAAAATTTCATCCATTGTGAATATCGCATAGTTAAGATATCGATTTCTCAATACATAATCATAAGAAAGTATTGCAGCTTGTTGAAATTAACCCTCTGCTAATGATCTTCTAGTTAGAGATGTAAACAGAGCGAATCGCTTGGAACTATTGTCTTCTAGCAGAAAAACAAATTTCCTTAGGCGCTAAATTGAATGGGATTTTAAGAAAGTACATATATCAGCAACATACGTCATTGACCATTAATTCAAATTCAACCACAAAACAATACCATTGTTAAAGAAAAAGAACAAAAAGAGAAGAAGAAGAAGAAGAGGAATATCAAATTTCAAATGTAATGCTTACTGCAGATGTATGCATAATAATAAATAAAGAAAAAAAGAAGAAAACCTTTTCTCTTCATGTCTGCTGAATAAACGTAGAAAACTTATAAAAAAAAGAAAATTTTCAAGTGCATGTGCGTATACCACAATAAGAATGACCTCTATGTTTACAGTTTATTTGAAAGATATTTATTTAAACAATATCTTAAATTCAACTTACCAGTAATTTCGGTCTTCTAGCCCAATGTAGAAATTCTTCATCATCGAACATGAGCATCGTTTATACAATGCGTGTATGTATACACACTTACCAAGCAAAATTTTCTACGGGCAATCGTTACAACAAAATAGACATAAAAGAATTCTCGAGATGATGATGAAGGCTGTAGTATTTGTTTTTCTTTGTTCTTCGAGTTGCTATTACTCGTTCATGCGCGCACGTCGCCTCCCGTTAAGTAGCAGTCGTTGAGAGCAAAGATTTCAATCATCATTTCTCGTGCAATTTTTTATTACGCGCAGAATCTCATTCTTTATTTCCAATTTTTTTCTCTCTCTCTCTCTCTCTCTTTTAGTCTTCGTCTGTTAAAATTTTCTTTTCTTCAATGATGATGATCATCATCGTGATGAGAAGGATTGCAGTCGTTTTTTAATGTATTGCAGGTAGAAAGAAAGAAAGAAAGAAAGAAGAAAAAAATGCTTTCAATTAGTTTGCTCTTTGTCTGCTATAAAAGTCTCATTGATAATAATTTCATTTTAGCGGCGTCTGTTTTCAGCTGTTATACAGCTGATTCATCGCAACCACTAGAATTGTTTTAAAATACAATTGAAGAAAGAAAATACACGAAAGAATAACCATAGAAAATTGTTTTTAAAACTATTGACATATGATCTTTTACACTCAGGATAAGATGTAGAACTATTTCACGCAACCGATAGGCAACATCCGCTTAGCAAGAAAACGACTGATTAAATCTCGCATTTAATTGCTTAAGATCAAAACGACCTTAGCAGAACATTTGTTTTTTGCTTCTGCTAAACCTCAACTATTCGAGAGTGTAATTCTTACTGAATCATTGGCATTTGTTTTTTTATCAACAAAAGGCATTGCTAATTGAAGTAATTTGCTGTTATTGGTCGAGAGAAATTGTGATGACGACTGTAATGACGCTGTTTCATAGCTGGTGACAGATTGCGGCGTTTGAACGAAACTATTTTTATTATTATTTGAAACAAGTAGAATAAATTTTGCATCGGGATCATTCGTTGTTGTTGAATCACATACTAAACCCGGCGTAATATTTCCTTCATCAGTTAATGATGGAAGTAAATTACGTTGTAAACGAAAACGAAATGCATTTAATGCATCGTAGGATAAATTTTCAATTAATGATAAAACTAATTTAATCGATGGATTTGTTTCAATGGTAGTTGATGTTAGCGGTTTGAAAGCATTCAAATAGACACATATAACTGTAAAACATTCCATAGCTCCATGTCGTAATTCTCGACGGTTTGATAGTAACATAGGAAGTAGATTTTTATGTAAATTAGCTATATTATCATATTTTTGTTGACGATGTTTTATAAATGTTGCTGTTACAATGGCAAGAATTTCAAGTTGTATACGATAATTATAATATTGATATTGATCATCAATAAGTTCATCAAGAACTATTTGTGGATGAACAAAATTCTCAAGCAACAGTATAATACTAACGCTGAATTTCTATTTTAAAAGAAAAAAAAGTTAGACGTATTCCGAATTCGTCTTTAGTTTCATCTACGAAAAACAAAAATAACATACGGCTAGTTGTCGATTATTTGATTGACCATTGAAAAGAATGTTTTTGAAAATTACACATATCGTTTTATAATGTTGTTTACAATAAGTTGCTTGCGAATGTTTAATAAGCCATGCGAGACATGTTGATAGAACAAGTTTAATTTTAATTGATAAATCGAGATTTGTTGATGTTATATAAGATAAAAGATCGAGTTTAGATGTTAAAAATGTATGAAAAACTTGATGAAATTGTGCATTATTGGGCGTGGGATATCTTGAACAAAGTGTTTGATAATATTTATCAGCTGAAATTTTTAAACGCTCCAAATAATTTACACGATTAGTTTCATCGGAAGCCATCCATTTCGAACGTATGATTTCAATTAGAGAATTAACCTCGGAATTTTCTGTTGGAGTAGACAATGCATTGTCACTATGAGTTATGCCATTTGTACGAAAACCATTGGTTCCTAGAAATATTTAATTTTAGTCTATTCGTGTTTTCATTTATTATTTATCATATGCTGTTGCTTGTCATACACTCGTGTCTATGTAAAATGTATTTTACATTTAAAGATCTATTACTATTTGACACACGCATACATGATATCTGTTCAGATAATGTCATTTTTTGATTTATTTGAGGATGTATTCAAGTTTGAATAGAGATACTAAAGTAACCTTCAGAAAAACGACTATTTTACGAAAATATTTTACTTCCTATTGTAGTAACCCGAAGAGAAAAGAAAATTCAACGATTATGGAGTCCGTTACCATAGTAACCAAGGACAACAGTTGTCGAATTATTTCCCTAAAGCTCTTTGTTAGCAATTGATGGTTAGAATCAAGGTAAAAATAACGCAGTGATCTAGTTATAACTTGACTTTTTTCTTCTCCGTTAAATCAATAGGGAAAGTATTCACCTAGGAAAATTAAGATGACATAGAAGCAAGATAAACAAAAACTAGAGTATCAGTAAGCAAAGAAAATAAATCTTCTGCTGACAATAATTAAGACGGACTGTTTTAGTCATTCAGATCACACCTGTGGCTTTTAAATGGTGTGTGCGTGTGTCTCTGCAAGGACTGGCATGTTAAATTTTTTTCGAAAACATTCGCTTCGTATGACCTTGCTGAAGTTACAGGACTGTTTTATTTTGAGTACTTCAAACCACGGTGTTGATTGTTTTGAAACAATCAACATTTTGAATGAGGGAATGAATTTGTTTCTCCAAGAAACTTAATATTTTCTTCTAAATAAGAACTCAGTAGAATACCTGTATGTGAATAATTATTTGCATCTTTAACATGAGATACTTGTACTGGTGCTCTGAGTGTTTCATCATTATCACTTTGCTCTGATATATAAGTATGATAAAGTCGTTTTAACGATGATGGATATGAGTCAAGATAAGTGTTGAGTAACTCTACACCTAATATGTATTTAAGATGATTAATTGCTTGACGAAGAATGCCATTATAATTCAAGCGAAATTTAGTATCTTGTAAATATTGAAGTATGATTTCGAAAATTGGTGATAGGTTTTCACGTTGATGAGATTTAGTTAATAGATCAGTTAGTATTTCAATAGATTTGACACTTATTCGAATGTTTGGAGATTTTAAAGCATCCTGTGTAAATATAAGTAAAAATGTGGAAATATCATTTGTCGTATGGATTTGTTTAATTATGAATTGGGATGCTAATTTTTGAACGTCGTTCGATGTGGATGAAAAACATTGAATAATTGCTATTAAAAAATAAAAATAATGTTATTTAATTTTTTTTAAATTTATTAACCTGGAAGATAATGTTGTTGATCGTAATGATGAATATTGGTTTGAAGTTCGGATAGAAATGTTAGACAATTGTATTGATATTCAGTGTTGGTTGTCTGTTGGAGAGTATTTACAAGAGACAGTAAAATATCATATCGTTGGGCAACATCAATTATAGTCGATAGACGATTATGTCGAGAATTTTTACACCAACGATTTACAGCTTGAATTTTATTATCATTATTTTGACCATGTAAAAGTACATCAATCAATTGACTATCGCCCATAGTTAAATCATTTTTAGGTAGAAGAAATGGATTTGTTGTTGATGAACCGGAACCATTTGACATTGTATGAAGCGATGAGGCTATAGTCATTGAAGACAATAGAAACGTGAAGAATCTGGAAAAAAAATTTCTATTGCTATTTCTACTTCGCAACCTTTTTTTTCGTTTATTTATTTTGAAAACAAGAAAAACAAAGAATAGACTAGATTGAGTACGATAGTGTCAAAACGAGATATAAAATAGTTACCATCTAGATTGCGAAACCAATAATGCGACATTCTACGGCTCCAGATCTGTGGATTTGGTCACTTAGAATAATTAACCTTCAGTTAATCTTTGAAAAATAAAATTAAACTAGTGTGCTTTTTTGCCGCTTCGAACAATAGGAATGGGCATCTTAAAATTCAAGTATTAATAATTATTTTATTGTTTATTTCATTAAGTGCTTAACGACATGACAGATGTTTCAATTCATAGCAACCGTTGTTAATGATACAAAAACGAAATTTAGTTAGCTAGTTAGTTTTTTTTACTACATTAATTCAAACTAGATTCAATGAATAATAAATTAGAAAAACGACTAAAAGTTTAAGATAAAAATTCGCAACCACCAGCGACATCTACTTTGATTTATCTTGACACGCAAACCATCCTGTTGTCATCGGTTTCGGATAGCCGGATTCGATACTTCTCGTTTTGGTATCGAAAACATATACATTTCGATCAGGCTCAGTAAAAAAATAATGTTTTTCCTCATAAGTAAATGCTGCTCGAACATTTTTAGGAACACCAGGAAATTGTTCATCTATACGTCTTGGTGGTCGGTCAAATTCATAGAGAAGTGTGTCTTCGTGGAATTTAAAAAGTAGACCCCCTTTTAAGAGCCAAATGTGACCTTCTTCATACAGAGCAGCTATTGGATTATATCTATACAAGTACACAATATAACAAAAATATCAATTCGGATGTATCGACAACTACTTACGGTGTACCGGCGCCGAACAATCGTTGAGGAAAACCACGATCAAGAGAATTTGGAGAAGAAAATCGCCATACACGATAGCCTTTGAATAGATAAATTTTTTTCGTTGCTGGCGATAAAATACCTGCCATCATATGAGGTTCAGCACCATGAAATACATCAGTGATGGGGATTCCAATTGTATCCCAATGACCAAAATCCGGATGAAAACGCCAAACAAGATCGTAATCAAGTGTATATAACCATTTGTCTGGACCACCGCCAAATACAACATCCATATAACGTGCACATCGATCATGTGCTAACACTCGTGGTTGTGTAGTTTGTGATTTTCTAGTTGTAGTTTTCGTAGTCTTACCACCCTTTGCAGGCGTCTTCTTTTTTTTTGTTGTTGTTGTTGTGGCCAGTGGTTTAGCTGTAGTAGAAGCAAATGTTGTTGGTTGATTGTTTTCATTGTTACCATACAATGCACGAATACCATCTCGATCCTTCATAGAGATAAAAATAATTATATGAAAAATATTGTGTAATGAGATTTATTACATCTTTTGGAAGTAAATCTTTTGGTTGCATTAATTGATAAAATGGATACATTAATGCTGTTTGATCATAGGAATGTGCTAAGCCAAGTGCATGACCGATTTCATGGGATGCAACCAAACGAAAATTATATCCAAATCCATCATATCTATTGAGATAAGTGTTTTTTTTTGTTGCTTCAGAAAATCATCATTTCTTACTTATCTGTCCATTCTTCTGCTGAATCAAAATGTACTTTTCCATCCTTTGGAAAAAAAGCATGAGCTAGTGTACCACCTGCACCATCAAATGGATAACCATCATCGTGGTTACCTTCGTTGAAGCTAATACTAAATTCAGCTTGTTCATCACCAACAGCTTCACGAAATTTTAATGGAGCATAACGAGCCCAGTCATCGAACGCTTCTTGGAGATGTATCCGAGTTTTTTCTATTCCAAATTTTGGTATTTGATTATTTAATTTCCATTTCAATGTTGTATTAGGCCTAGAAAATATTAGAATGACTTTAATCGACAAGACAAAAAATCAATTACCAAGGTCGAAAAGCAGAATAACCCATCGGATAATCACCCAAACTACAGCGAGGTCTATTCATTAAATTTATAGTTTTATCATCAAGTTTACCAGTGACTGGTAAATGGAAAACAGTTTGAAAATGCTCAAGCATTGTTTGAAAACTTGACTGACACAATGGACCTGTATCTTTTGACTGTGCACTTACAGAACCACCACATTCATTATAACCAAATTTATTGAGAAATTTTAATGCATCTACATTTGATTTAATACCTGGTGCCTTACTTGCTGATGCCTTTAGTGGTTTGTGTGTTTTTCCTGACAATGGTTTCCCATAAGAAAATGCAAAAACGATGAATACAAGTATAAAACAAAGTTTGATCATCGCTTTTTTCTAGTGAAAATGAAAAGATGTGTTTGCAATAGAGTAAAAAAAACAAATAAGATAATATACAAAACGAAAAAGCAAATCGATTGATAAGATTGAATTCAAACTCATATTACCAAGTGCAAACATTTGAAAGATCCGATTTCAATTATTATCAATAAATACGCCATACTCAGCTAATTTGTTCAGTTCAGCTTTACGTTCTTTAGTTGATATTTTCCCATTCGTTGTCCAATGCCGCTGAACTGTAAAAAAGTAATAGGGACCACCGTGAACTAATGTTCGTTGTTGACCAGCACAGAAATCTTCACCATCTTCTATTTCACCATAATCACACAAATGCGTCGGATGTTGATCAATACACGTCCATAAATACCAACCAATAGGATATTGTTGTTCAATAATAAATTTTCGCATCAGTAAACTTCGCGGAATATTGCCATCGTTAATAACATATGCAACTTCGTCAGCTCGACTTGCTGCTTGATAAGCCAGACGTGGAATGTTTTCTGTTCTAAGTGTCTCGATCCATGCACCTGAATAACATGTATCTGCAATAATTGTCAACGATGACGTATCATTAAAATCGTCAGCAAACGGACGAGCATACCAAGCATTAATCACATCACGACAAGTGATTTCACCACCAGAAGAAAATCCCCAATTACCTGTATCTTTTATTCCATGACCACCCCAGTAGAGAATAAATGTTGTTCGTTCGCCTTTAATATCAATCCTATTCATTTGAAAGAATTCATTTATGAGATCAAATGATTCATTTCGAGAAGAACGAAGACGTGCAGGCACAGAACGCCATATAGTGGCATGTGTTCGTTCGAAAAATTCTGTTATAGCACGACAATCACGTTGCCATAGATGTTCGTCCAAGTGAACATCTTGTTTTGTACGAAAACGGTCGTCTCCACGACGCCGTCGATTAGCAATTTGAATATCAAGATCATCATCATAAATTGAACCACCCAAAAGAAGAACTAATGTACGTTCAGTTTTACATTCCTTCTTATTTTTATAGACAGATTTCCATGGCATATTGCGACACTACACTCTATTCACAAATCACTAATTCAAAAGCGAAATTTCGTTTTGATATAATACACTCTCACTGTATTATGTACATTGCGTTTTTTGTTTGGTGGTATTGCGAAAGAAAACTTGCGTAAAATATACCATGATAAATGTAATTGTAACGGAAGAAACAGAAAAATATTTGTTGACGCGTGACATCATCAAGTGTATGCCCATGTGTTTCATTACGATGAAACTGCGATCGCACTGTGACCCGTAATTGCGGAAAATTGCGACGTAGTTACGCGTAGTTACGGGGGGAAAATCACAGTTACACATAACTGCGCCCAAGTTTTTCGGAATTATAGTTCACAGTGTCGTCGCAATTGGTACAAAAGATAACATAGATTAGGGTTTCCTTTTATT